GAAATCTGCATTTTCTTATTTTGCCGAGTATATACCCACCCCACCTTGGGTCTTCGGCCTTTGAAGCAAATCCCACGAAAGGAGATGTACCCCTCTCTTTTCCTTATGGCCACCCCATATAAATTTTCTTGTTTTTTTGTCAATTGCTTCACAAGTAGTGTTTCGGGGTTTTTTTTGGATGTCCTGCAGGAGAGTTACAATTCCAAGACTGGATTCGTGCGCCTGTTCTCGCAAAGCAACGGAGACTCCAGTTGGTGGGAGTTCCGCCTCCGACGATCAAATTAGAACGTGTTTGGATGTAAAGTATGCGGAAAGGGAAGGGGATCAGGCTCCTCTCGGAAGAGAAGTGATCATCCGGCTATCTTAGACAGCCTCGAAATCCGAGCCTTAGCTCTCAAAAGTGCAATTAATGCTGTAGTTAATGCTCAGCAATCAATACACACGTGTGTTTAGCAATTTGTGAATGAATATTCCCCAGGGGGGAACATTTTTTTATAGGGTCTCGAGTTGTGTGCCAGTCCTAGGTTTACAGAAACCTAGGTTGACTAGGCTTCCTCGGATTTTGGGCCTTGAAAGGATGCTCATCTGAGGTAGCAATCTATCTGCCACATGTCAGGCTTTGATTGGTCCATGTTGGACTATTCACCAAGTGACACGTGGTGGACTCTGGTTGGTCCACGTGGATGTCACGTGGAGGGTCCTGAGAGGTCCACATGGAGGACACGTGGTAGGACTGGATTGGTCCACGTGGCGGATGAAATCCCCTAATCATTTACCCCTCACAGGGGTGATATGGATTTCCACGTGGCGCCTGTGACAAGTGTCGGCTTGCGACTGGACGACGATTTAAACCGTTTTTCCTGCCCATTTTGAATTTTTGAATTTTTTGAGGGTGACCCTTCAAATTCTCATGCCCCCCCCCCCTATATAAAGGGCTTGCCTGAAAGTCATTTGTTCACACCTTTGCATAATTTTTGGAGAGAACTTCTGGACTTAAAATTTTCTGAGAAAACTTTGGACCGCCTACGCCCGTACTCCCTTACCGCCTATTAGTTACAGTCGGCCAAGATTTTTGCAAGCGCCTTCAACACCATCAATTCAAAGGTAATCGCCTGTATTCACTCGTATTTTTACTTTATTTGTTTTCCTTTTTGAAAATGGTATCCCAAAAGCACACGCCACGACCTAGGTTAGTGATCAGTCGGTCACTGGGGACGACTGAATCTAGAACTAGGAGTGCTGACTGCCCCTTGCTGGATCACTCTTTGCGAACTTCTCCAAATCCGACTGTTTATGTGTCTGCGCAGGACACTATGGCCAGAACCAAACAAACAACCTGGGTGGAGAACTCGGACAACTCCTCCCTTAGGGTGCCTATTAGCGAGACGTCTGATGTGCCGCCTGGACCACCAAGAACCCCAAGTGATTCTATCTTAAATGAATCTAGGGATGAATCTCAAAGCGAGGAGTCGGGCTCTGCTGGCCAGGCCCCCTATGCGGACGCTAGGTCCGAGAGTTCAGGCAGTGATTCTGAGCCAAGTACATCAAGCAGAGTTTCTGACGACTCTGAGGAGAAGCACTCTCGGCTGGAAATAGCGAGAGAATCCCTTTTAGTAGAAATGGGAGAAAAATGGGCGGAGGCGTCTACTTCCTGCCGAGAGGAATTCGCCACCTATTATCACCATGTTCCAGCCGGCAGGCGGAAGATGATGCAGGAAAAGATAGGCAACTTTAGATTTAACCATGTCATGGGGCATGATATTATTTTGGTGAAGTTGGATGCCAAGGACACCGTAGTCTGGCCGGAAGGGTGTAGCTACGGGGACGAATGTTTCGACTGCTATGAGGCGGCTATTAAGGCTGGCCTCAGATTTCCCCTATATCCGGCTGTGGAGCGAATCCTGGAAGGATACCGGCTGGGGGTCTGGCAATTGGCCCCAAATTCTTGGTTCAACATATTAGGCTATGTTGCCGGCTGCGAAATGCATGGAGTAGACCCCAACTTCAAAGCATTCGCTCACATGAACTACCTTAGCCGAACCCCAAAAACAAGCGGGACCGGCTGGTACCAACTGTCTAGCCACAAGGGTTATATGATGACTTTAGGGAAGGAGAACAAGTGAAAAGATTGGAGGAACACCTTCTATATTGTCTCCTGTCCTGACAAAGACGAAATAAAAAGTATAACAGGTGGAACAGGAACCCACCTTTTCTATCAGGCGGATCAGAGCTGCCTGTTGTCCCTCGAAAAGCCAAAGAGGAGATCCTAGACAAGGGCCTCTTCAAGGTGGATATCCAGGCGAATCCAGAAAATGGGGAAAGAGAGTTCATCCCCCAAAACTATATTTCCAAGTATAACTAGCTATACGATGGGACATATCTGGTCGCTTGTGGCTTTAGTGGAGAGATGTCGAGAGGAAGCTTTTCGCATGTTCAAGTGTCTAGTAAGACTTGATTTATTTTTCTTCATACTAACCCTTTATATCTTCTTGTGTAGATAAAGCTATGGAGAAGCTCTCGACATCCAAGAAAGCTGCCGCACAATACCACTCGGCCATTCTGGGCAAGCGGCCTGTTGGAGAGTCGTCTACTTCGCAGGCGCCCAAGGTGAACTTCTTTTCCATGTGTAGCTTTAGTCTATTTGTTGTCGCCTGCCTCTTACTCTGATTTTCATTGCAGGGTGACTTAAACAAACCCTCTCCTCACTCACAGCCGGATCCGAAGATTCGGAAACACACAACTGGTGACGTGAGTACTCCTGGGAAATCCAGGAAACATGTGGCCAGCCGGTCATAAAAAAACCAACCTCCTAAATCTCCAACTGTCCTTGAGAGCGGTCGGCCTCAAAAGGAGAGAGAGACGACAACTGAAGGTATCAAAGACTTGTTCCTTTTGCTTTACCCTTTTAGGGTCAAATTCCAACAGTAGTTGTCTAGTACCTTTGAAAGCAGTCGATCTACTGGACGAATTTACACCAAGTACTTAAAAAATGTTGAATAAGCAGATGCCCCTCAGTGGCCAGACCTCCAACAAATGGCCAAGAACATGCTGCGTGCCGTCTCCCTTGAGGACAGGGAGCCGGTAAGGGGAGTCGACACCTTGAATCTGGACGACATCCTCGCTCTCCTGGCTGAGGTATACTTGTTCTTTTGATTTTTTGATTTTTTACATCTCCAAGCAATTCATTTAGCCGCCTGTTTCTGATGTTTTTCTGTTTGGCCGGATGCAGTGAATGCTGCGAGTACACGACCACCGCAAGCCCCTCAATGAGAAGGAAAAAGAGGTAAAAGCTGCGAAGGCTCAGGCCGCCTCTTCCACTATGTTCTCAGTCTTTCAAAATGAGATTCTGACGACTGATATCTTGTATTCACAGGCGACCGCGAACCTGCAGGTCAAGTCTAAGTTAGACGCTGCGAAGAGGTGGGTTTCCGAGCTAGAGCAGTAGGTTAAGGACCTCAAGGTCAAGCTCGAGCCTCTCAAAGAGGCGGAGAGGGAAGCAGACGACCTCCGAACTCGGGTGGACAAACTGAAGCAGCGGTTGGCTAACCAGGAGACCCAGCTTGCCGAAAAATACACTTCTAGGGCCAACGAAGAGAAGCAAGCCTTGGTCAAAGACATGATGGATGATTGTAATGTCATCATGGAGATGACCTAGGCGACTCTTTTTCCGGACACCAGCTATGAAGGCTAGAAGAGTCAGTTTACCGCCTACACCCAAGATTATAATGACAAAATCATGAATGCGGGTGAAGAGAGGAGGACGAGTCATCTGATTCGGCGGACGGGAACAACCAAGAGGAAAAGGCCGGCCAGAAAGATAGGGAGGATGTTGAAAAAGAACAGCATCCGACTGAGGACCAAAAGGATGCGGCTGCTGATGCTGAAAAACCCCCTCCTACTGTTTAAGCTTTTTATGTTTTTATGTCAACTTTCTTCGGCCTGCGTGCCGCTTATTTTGTATCTTTACCCGACCAAGGGGTCAGGGTTTATTAACAATTTTAACATTTTTGTCGGTTATGAACAACCACCGTGGTCTATCATATGCTTTCTCAAAGTCAATCTTAATGGCCATATGTCCTTTTGCACCTTGCTTTCTCCTCATGGTATGGATGACCTCTTGAACTATGACAATGTTATCCGTGATCTGTCGACCCGGCACAAAACTGGCTTGTGTGTTAGAAATCAAATGAAGGAGAACCAGTTTAAGTCTATTTACTATGACCTTTGTAATAAATTTATATACAACATTGCATAGTCCGATGGGCCTGAATTGAGAAGCAAACTCTGGTTTTTCAAGCTTCGGAATTAAAGCTATGAAGGTATCATTAATATCGTCAGGCAACCCCGTACCTTCTAAACTAGGCAAAATGGTTCGATAAACTGTATCCGCAACTATCTCCCACTTTTTCTGATAAAACAAGGCTTGGAAACCATCTGGTCCCGGCGCTTTCAAAGCCCCCATTTATTTGATTATGGTCTCCACCTCCAATTTTGTATAAGGCTTAACCAAACCATGTCAATCATTCGTGGAGAGCTTCGGGAAAACGTCTTGAGGTACATAAAAAACTTCCGGTTCCCCTTCCTCTGTAAATAACTTCGAGAAATAGCTCACAATATGATTTTTAATCTCCTCTTTGTCCTGCAACCAGTGACCATCCTCCCCTTGATAGCAACGATTTTGTTCTTCCATCTTCGCACTATTATGCTTAGGTGAAAGAAGCTAGTATTACGGTCTCCGTATTTGAGCCATTCCATTCTCGATTTTTGGTACCAGTGAATTTATTCCCTTTCAAGCACTCCATCAAGTTCCCTGCAAAGTCTTGCCTCCAATTTTAAAAGTCCTCTGTACCTTTACTTCCATTCTTTTTTGAACTCCTGCTATGCGAGCCAACAACAATCTCTTTTGCTTAAAGATATTCCCAAAGACATCTCTATTCCACTCTTGTAACTCAGAGGAAATTATGGATAGTGACCTCATCAAGTCACCTTGCGAATCCCATTTAATTTGCTCTCCACAAACTCTTTAACTTCTCGTGAGTCATCCAAGTTGCTTGGAAGCGAAAAGGCCTATGGATAGCTTGGAGTGGGGAAAATCCGTTCAGTGAGATAAAAATGGGGCAATGATCAGATTGTATAGCAGGGAGGTGTTTCATCGATGCTTTCTTGAACCGCATAGCCCACTCATCATTGCACAAACCTCGATCCAATCTAGCACTTTTCCGAGTTTCTGGAGTTCTTCCTCTAGCCCAAGTATGAGCTGCACCAGCAAATTCAACCTTAAGCAAATCCATTTCCTCAATCCAGTTATTAAACATGGAAGACCGACGATTGGTTTCATGGCATGATTTGTTTCGCTCAGAAGGAAATCTCGTATCATTAAAATCACCCGCCAATAGCCACGGTTTATTATGCGTCACAACAAATTTTTTTAATTCTTCCCACGAATCTTTCCTCTTCATAGGATCTGGGCTTGCATATATAGCAGAGAAATACCAAGGGGAAGCTCCTACTCGGGTGATCTCCATCGTGATATGCTGATTGTGCTTTGAAATCGGTTTAATAGTCACAAAATCGGGTTTCTAGTACACCCAAATCCCTCCACTAAAGCCCACGACATCTACTCTCTCATGACCATTAAATCCTAACATGGTCGCAATTTTAATTGCTTGATCTCCTCCCATGTGTGTCTTAACTAAGGCAAGCACATTGGGTTGATTTAATTTAACAATCTCTTTCAAAGCAGAGATAAAATTAGGATTACCTTCCCCTTGCACATTCCATATCATGCCAGTGGATAGGTAGAGAATCGGCAGTTAGATTCGGTAATCTATCTTCCATAGACACTTGAGAAGAAGGTAAAGTGGAAATGTAAGCAAGGCTTAGCATCCTCAGCAAACGCTGAATTTCAATTGGAGGGTTTACCGTCATCACCAGTTCCGGAGGAGTCAAGACAGGTGGTAACAGTGAGTCCATATGAACCTCCATCACATGCACCAAGGGGTTCAGAATTACTAGGTAAGGTTGCTCTATTGGCAACCCCACACATAGGGTCTTCTCTGGTGGGACATTCAGAGTAATTGGGTAGTCCTGAATTGGCTTCTCAGTAGCTTGCTTGGTCACGTCAATATCTTGAGAGGTTGCTTTGAAGTAGGATTTAGATGCAAATAAAGAATGAGATAATTTTCTTTTCTCTTGATAAGATTTTGCGGGAATCTTCTTTGATTTTGAATATTTTGCACTCATATCACTTAAGTTAAAAGTAGTAGGAAACCCCTTAGAAGATTTATCTTGCTGAGATTTCTCACCCAAATTAACCGTGCTGAATTCATTCCCCTCTTTATCTTGAATGTCCTCCATCATATCTTCTATATCCTTGTTTATCTCGTCAGAGTTATCCTTAGACACTTCACCTTGATTTGTCAAGATATTAAACCTTGAGCCATTCCCATTATTCTCTCCTATAAAACCGGTGGGTTTAGTTTTTCCTAATTTAACTCCAAGTTGGTTAGACATCACCAGAATATTCTCCGCCTCCTTGGGACCACCAACGTTGGTCTTCACCACCCCTAGATTTTTATCCTGCTTGGGAATCCGTTGTCTGCCAGGTTTTTTTACTAACATCCATGAGCCAAAATCTTCTTGCTCTTCTGGTCTTGGCTCATGATTATGCACCGGATTATCATGATCTACCATATCCGCTTGCCTTTCAACTTCTTGTTCAGGATTACAGTCCTCGGCTACATGTCCAAGCTTGCCACACTTGAAACAGACCATCCTATTCCCTCATATTGGACTCTCCATATTCGACCTTTGAGCCAAAATTTAGACAGTAGTGGCTTTGACAGGTCAATCTCCACACTTAGTCCCGCAAATTGGCCTCATTCTGCTTATGCCGTGGTTTTGTCTACCTTGATAACTTTGCCAATCTTCGAAACAATTTTATTTAAGAAATTGATATCAAAGTATTCCACCGGAAGATTTGGAATACGCCCCGGCAGTAAGGACTTTGATCGAAGAGTCATCCGAACTAAAATTTGGAACCCATTTCCTAATCGTCAAGTAATTGTCATCTAGGAGCCATGGAACTTGCGTGAGAACATAGTTATAGTCTGCCTTATTGTTGAATCTTGCAATGTAATAGCTGTAACCAATATCGGTGAGAGCAAGTCACCTTTGATGTTCCATTTTCTCTTAAGGCGTCTCATTAGTCCCATGTAGCCAAGTTTCCCACTGAACATCTTAATAATCAGAGAATTTTTCCACGGTTGCCTTAGGTGTCTCTTCTCCTCCTTGGTGAGGTGGATGACAGGGCATCTATCATTATTCAAGATGTCATCGGGAATATCTTCTTCATCATCAGAAATATCAGCTTCATCCATTAGGTCAGCAAAGTGTTGTTGAGGATCAGTACTATGTCCTGCTCTAATCATGTCACGGAAAGAAAGCGTTCCCTGATGTAGATTGGGGTGGTTTATAGGCTCCTTTTCCCGTTGTTTCTCAGAGGGGTTAACATTTTCCCTTGTATTTGCTTCCACCATGTCTTCATCTTGAGAATTATCTCCACCAAAAATCAAATGTGTCATTTTACGTTTGGGTTTCTTATTTGATCGATCAATTTGGTCCCTCTCCTCAGTTGAGGGAAGAATTCCATGGTTGTCATTAAGGTTTTCCTTAGGGTTTGTCATCTGGCTGAGAGAGAATAGGCGGAAAACTATTTTTACAGAGAAAGTATGTTGTACTAGTATTTTAAACAATTTCTAACCAACATATATTGACTTATTTTTTAATTATCTATATTGACTAATTTATAATTAATATTTCCTCCGTTTCTTTTTAGTTGACACGTTTCTTTAGTCACGTTTGCCAATGTAAAAATTCAACCGTTAATATCTTTAATTACCGATTACCAAAAATTATAAAAAGTTGATATTTTGAAAATATACACGAATCTAACAAAACTCCACATGACTGTATTTTTTATTACGTATAAATCACAAAATACGATCAAAGAAAAGTGTGTGAATAGTACTAAGTCAAAACGTGTCAACTAAAAAAAACAGAGGTAGTATATAATTATATATTAATATTATAATCCAAGCATAGCTCGGACACTGACTAGTACTCCCTCTGTCCCTTATTTTTTGCCTCATTTGACTTTTCACGGTGTTCAAGACACGTCTTCAAATGCATATATCTCCATTTCTATACGCGTAAAAATTATAAAAACTTGATATTAATAAACTATACAATGAGACAATTCTAATAAGATCCCACATGAATATATTATCACTTATAAATCAACGAAAATTTATGGTCAAAGTTTTAAAAGTTTTGACCCATATTTTTACAATGGGGATACTACATATCAAAGTTTCAAAATGTTTAACTTTTCTTACTTTTCAAAAAGAAAAAAACCCTTTAATTGACAGAAACGGTGTGGTCTCTTAAAACCCCGCCCCACAAACATCCAAAGTAGAAACGGTAATGGGAAGAAAGTTGGAGTATTGGTTTCGAAAATAATTCTCCCAAGAACAATCTCAAATATGAATATCGAGTAGAAAGGATTTAGGGCATATTCAAACTCCTTTTCAACGAATTCAACTCATTCACTCGTTAATCACTAGGTAAATTCTTTCATTGCCTACTTCTTTCGAATTCTAATTGATTTTTTTTTTTTTTTTTCCCTTACATTGGCTAAGGTATTGTATAATGAGAATGTCAATTTGTGGTTTTGATTATGTTTTATGCCTTGAAATTGGATTGATAGATGTTTAATTTAAGCCTAAACTAGTTAATTACTGGCTATTTTTTGTGTAATTTGCTAGGTTCTGCTGCTAATACTTAATTGTTAACAATTAATGAAACCCATTACTAGTAATTTGGGTTTTACCTTGCAATTGAAACTTTTCAGATTATTTGAGATTTATACTTTGAGCATTTGTGATAATGGCTCAACTTAGCTGCTTTTGAATCGGTTAGAGTGTTAGTAATTTAGTGTTTGGTTTGCAATTGAAACTTTTCAGATTATTTGAACTGTTAAATTTTGAGTCGAGAGAGCATGTTTTGGATATTGGTTTGGTTAGAGTGTTAGACCATGTTTCAGGGTCCGATTGGTTTATTTGCAGTTTAAGAAATGTTTGAATGGAAGACAAGATGAGCTTGTTTGCGTTCATTGCTTGATATTAAAGGCGTATACATGATTCCTTTCGTTCGATGATTGATTAGTATTCCTATGCCATGATGTATCTTTGGATTCCTACTTTGTTATCACTAGTCTATAGTTGTTTCACTTGTCTGTGCTCGTCATTTGTTCAATTCATCATTATGATATTAATTTTTCTGAAGTACTATGTAGGACATATAGCATTTAATCTTTGTGGTTTAGATGGATAAGAGGAATAGCAATAACTTGTCATCGTCATTTATATGCGTGATGGGAAGCAGGTTCCTGTTGGTTACGCAAAGTGCTTCTTGTTGCCATTCTTGCTAATCACTAGGTTCTTATCAATGTCATCATCAACTCAAATCTCAATTAGAATTGGACTTAATTGAATACTTTTAATTTGCTTCTGTTAATGCCCACTTCATGTTGCATAACCGTTTGAAACCCTCAAACTTTATTATTTCAACAGTAGTCTTTGAGTCTAACTTTTCTAAACAAATGATGCTAAACTTTTTGCAGGTAAAGATGATTAAAATGTTTTGATGTTGGAGTCATTTCTAGATGATTTTTTTACATTTGAAGTGGAAACTTAGGAGCTAATTGGTAAATGGTAATGTCATTTCATACTTTATCTTGAAGGTTTCTTTTCATGAGTTGAACATTGTAAACTTGACTTTTTCTGCGTTCTTTGTGAGAATAAGAAAGTTTGCTAGTTCAAATTGTTAATGAAAGGATCAACTTGCAATTCCAAGGTATGGTTTCGTCTCCTGGACTCATGTTTGGTGTGTTTTTGGTTACTTTTCTATTATTTGAAGCACAGTAATTGATCTGAATGGAGCCACAGCTGACGATTTTTGTATGCATATTGGTGAAAGGTTCTCGAAGGAGATGGTGATGACTTTAGCAGGAACTCCAGCAATTCGACCGTCCATTTCTCTCATAAAAGCTTTGGAGCTGAAAAGCTGTTTCGACATTGGCTTCAGATCCTTTGAGCACCTCAAACAAGCCCATGCACGCCTTTTACGCCTTGGGTTGTGCCAAGAAAATCACCTCCTCGACACCCTTTTGGGATATTACACTCAATTTGGCAACACCCATTATTCCAAACTTATTTTCGATCAAACCAATGAGCCCAATATCTTTCTTTTTCATACAATTATTAAAGGGTTGGTTTCAAATGACTTATTTGAAGAAGCTATCAAATACTACCAATCTATGCGTTCAAAGAGCTTGTTGCCCAATAGATTTACTATTTCATTCGCCCTGAAAGCCTGTGCTAGGATTTATGACTATCGGTCGGGATTGAAAATCCATAGCCTTGTTGTAAAATTGGGTTTTGATAAATATGTGTTTGTTAATAATAGTCTGGTGTCCATGTACTCAAAATGTGGGAGTATATACGATGCCCATAAAGTATTTGATAATATGCCGGAGAAAGATTCACTCTCTTGGAATGTTATTATTAGTGGGTATCATGATGTTGGGAAATTTTCGGAAGTTTTGAGCTTGTTTAGAGGATTTTTGAGAAATGGTTTGAAACCAGATGAATTAACTCTTGCTAGGATTCTTTGTGCTTGTGCAGAGCTGGGCGCGCTTGAATTTGGTGAGTGGATTCACAGGTATATTAACTTAAATGGCTTAGTAAAAGATTTGGCTCTAAATACCTCGTTGATTTACATGTATACCAAGTGTGGATGTATGGACAAAGCACGGGGTATCTTTGATCAAATGCTTGAAAAGGATGTAGTTGCTTGGACTTCTATTATTCAAGGGTATGTGGTAAATGGTTTTGCAAAGGAAGCAATAGACATGTTCTTTGAAATGGAGAGAGAGAATGTAAAGCCTGATTGCTACGCCATTGTTGCCATGGTACATGCGTGTACAAGGCTTGGAGCAATGAAATTGGGAGAGCGGGCAATCAACTCCCTTAAGTGGGAAGAAGTGGTGGCCAACCTTCCTCTTGGAAAAACCATAATTGACATGTATGCTAAATGTGGGAATTCTAACTCTGCATGGAAAGTTTTTAAAGAGATGAAGGAGAGAGACATTGCAGTTTGGACTTCTACAATGTCTGGCCTATTCATGAATGGGCATGCTAAAGTTGCATTTGGTCTTTTTGCCCAGATGGTAAAATTTGGTCTCCAACCAAATGGTAGTACTTTCATAGGCCTGCTAAACCTTCGTGTCTGTGGTAAACGTCATTCAGCAATCAAGATCATTTCAGGGATTACTAGAAGAGCGATTGTGCTAAGAGACACGAACCTCCATTGCTTTATTGTCGGGACATGTTTGTGTAAAGATTATCGGTAAAGTTTCAATACATACGGCAAACTTCTTGGTTGGATGACAATATAACCAAGACAAACAGCATAGCTCTGTCCTCTGTGAACTTTACAAATATACGCGGAAGTTTTTACAGATGCAAAAGAAAGAAGGTGATGTTTAGTTGAATACTTTTTGTGCAGCAAACATTTCTATGGGAAATCTTGCTACTGTATCTCTTGCTTTCCCCTTTTTGTGACTCTAAGCTAAAACCAAAATTCTGATGATTCTAAGGATCATATTCCTTTGTTTCTGTATCTCTTGCTTCCCCCTTTTTCCTACATCGATTCTTACTCTATTTTATACTTCACCAAACTTCATGAGTAATGAAGTTGATGATAATGAAGATAAAGCTGAATTTTGGATAAGCTTCCTGAAATGTTTTCAGGTTCTCTCTCCCTCTTTTTCTTTTCCAGAATATATTTATATCTGCTGCATTATTTCCCAGTGGTGACTTGGAAATGGGGGATTTAGGGCTCATTTCTCTCACATTTTCACTGTAAATTTGTTAAAAATAGCTAACATTTTTTTTTCAGATGCAACCATTTAATAATGTATCCCTATCAGATCTTAAAAGTTTTGGTAAATCTTTGAGTTCTTTTATATATTAGAAAGTTTATTTGTTACTTCATAGACAAATAAATTCTACTTTTTTTTTCTTTTTATTTACTTTTGTGAATATGAGACTGAAACCAACAGGGAATTGGGGCAGATTTTCTCTGGGTTAAAAAAAATTTTGATGATAATATATCTAAGTCTTCTTTTATAGATTATTATGGGTGTATCATAATTGCTTTTGTTATAGTGCTAGGTGACCTATCTTCAATAATGCATGGGACATATATATGTGTTTTTCAGTCACCGTGTTTTGGCAATTATGCTATGCCACGAACTGGAAAGAAGTTTTGATTCAATCGGAACATATTCAGTAAGTTATCTTATGTATTCTGAGTTAAGGAATAAAGGGAGACCAATGCTACAGTTTTGATGAGATAAATCAAGAAGTAGTGCTTTTTGTGGAGGAAACAAAGACCAATTGAGAGCACATTTGGTCAGCATGTTAACATCCACTGGACACAGAACGGAATGAGTTTTATCATTTACTCCCCCACCTTATTTGATACTTTTCCATTTACTTTTTCAGATTTAAACAAAACCTTGCGCTAGATGATTTGAAGGTTTATTAGGAAGCGCTTCTAAACATTGATGTATCAGCTGGATTCGCTCGCCTCTGACCTCTGAGACTAGTATAGATTATGAATCAAATAAAGACCTTACCTAGAGCAATTGATCAAGTATCAATAAACAATTCAAACGATCTTGAACATTGAAGATAGTTCTTCGTTCCAGATTCGAGTGGCAGGTACTTCATTTGATCATTCATTTTCAGATTCTCCAGGTCACAAGATCCCCAACTTTTAACCAGGTATCGACTTCCAATCTTTTTGTTAGAAGAAAATTTCTAATGTTAGCAATTTAATATTGTAGAAGTAATTTGATTGGTTATTGCCTGAATATAAACATCTTTCAGGATGAACAGCTATTTATAATGCTATCAAATGGATTCATAGGCATTCACGAAAGAGAAATTCTTTGTGCAATGCTTCTGCTCTTTTTATAAATTTTTTGAGGCAATATAGTCTTGTTATGCTTCACGATTTGATAACCTTCGACTGCATGAACTCCTGTATCGGCCTACTCAATGTGTTTCTGCATTCTCGACTATAACTATATTTGGTAAGCCAGAGTTGGAACTCTTGGAAGTATTGGAGTTGAGAACTGATGATGTGCACAGCGGCTCGGCAGAGTAGCAGTTGAAGTAATTTGTATGATTCTATGCACAAAGATATGCAATTATGCCGAGCAGGCGAGCAGGGCAGTGGTAGTTTGTATGATACTCCCTCCGTCTTTTTATTAAAAACCTTTATTTTATTTTGGGGAGCCCAAAATTAAGAGCTTATTTCTATTTTAAGGTTAGTACTGTTTGAGAATTCTCCTCTTTTTGATGAGTTATCACTTTTTTTTTGTACTGATGACATCAATTTCCAACACTTTATCTCCCTCTCTTCAATTATTCCCAACCACTTTTTTATTCCTCTCTATCTCTCTCTAACCCTACATGCATTTATGTACTTCTACTAACTTTTTTAATTCCCGTGAAAACCCAAATAGTCTCTTAATTAAGAGACGGAGGAAATAATATTTACAAATATGTTTTACTTCGGTAGGATAAATGTATGAAATATTATCATTTAGATATTGTAACATTTACATGAAAGAAACACTGTGAAAGTTTGTATGATGGAATTATAAAAAATTTCATAATATTGTACTCCTATCCGATTTATTTTGGTTACCCATTAAATGTCTTCTTTTGTTATGTACATTTAACCTATTAACTTACTCTTTTCCCACTCTAAATAAGATACAAATTGATTACTCTCTCCGTTGTTGTTTTTTTTTTTTTTTTTTTTTCACAATCTAAAATGCGTATCTTTGACCCCAATTAAACATGTGTAAAAAAAAAATATATATATATATATATATATATATATATATATTTTGAAAATTCATTTCAAGAAAAATCTACACAAATATCCTACATGATATTGTTTTGATGATCTTCATAATAGTGTATCTTTGTAGTCAAAGTTTTCAAAAATTGGCCATAAAAGTCAAAACGTACTTAAAAAAAATGTTTAGTAATTTTGGTGTGAAATTATTTTATTAGAAATTTAGAATCTATCTTTTTAAACTTAATTTTTTTTTTTTTGAAAATAAGTGAAAATGAGAAGATCCATCTATTAATTAAGGCTACAACAATTCAAAATCAATTAGTATGATACAACTTAAAAAGAAAATTACGTTCAACCTCCAAATTAGCTTGGACTATTAACCCTTGGAAAGACCTAGTTTTATATACCACAGAAGATAAACAAGGTAGCACCAATGATGAAATATTTGCGCATCTGAACTTGAATCACTTTTTTTTTTTTTTTTTTTTTTTTTTTGGTAAGAAAAATTATTCCACCGTTATACATTGTTCATCTTAGACATTTTTGGGTATTTGATAATTTATTGAAAAAGATGGCACATTAAGAGAGGCGAGTCATAAAGATTTATTTCTCGGATTGATATTGTGAAGGATGAAGGTGAGAGTGATAGCTTGTGGGGAGGCAGGCAATAGAGGTAGCTGGTGGCGAGTGGTGGTGGCTATCACGGCACGGTATTAGCAGTAGTGGTGCCGGTGCATGTGGAGCCAAATGAAAGAAAGAGTGGAATGAGGTAATTTTATGGACGAGGCAAAGGGTTCACTCAAGCCAAAATGCAGGTGACATTTAACAATTCACTTATTATTTATAGAGAATATAATGTGTTAGTGGTTAGGATAGAGAAAACATACTCAAGCTATTTGCATATATATAAAGGTAAGAAAAATAATTATTAGGAAGCATTCCTCACTAGGGGAATTTCTAATGTAAGGATAAGGATGAGATTCCGTATATGCTTGAACTATTTTGCTTATACTTGTGACTTGTGTTACTAGTTAGGAAGGAGTACATCAATAGTGCTTAGAATATGCTTCCTTCAAACAATTTCTTTCCAAAATTAACGAAAGGTAATTTTACAAACATTTATGAAGATGATAAAATAGAAAAACAGCTCTATTGAGTTTTTATTCGCATTAAAATTTGAAATCCGCAGTCTGCACTCGACCAATGATCCTCCTGCTTCAGGCCCCCCCAAATCTGAGGGTGGCTGCCTGACTGGTCTACTGTCATTCCGATACAACATAAAGATACATTAATTCCAAATCTGTATATAAGAGTATACGACTGCCCAAGCAGCTCATATCTTCAACCTCCACTAGTCCACTGCTGATAAATGATCAGAATTCAGAAATATGACCTCCAACCAAGATCCCAAAACAAGGGGGGGTCACATTAATATGATTATAAATGTAGGTGTCTCTCTGAGGTCTTGTAGATGCTCAAGAGTCTGTAAATGGTAGATCGGCTTGTCTTCCAATTTCATTTGTGTTACTGGCTAAAAACCTCACATAACCAAAGCCAGCATTCAGTCTAACAAATCCCTATTGTAGCCTGTAGCTTGCCTCATCTTTCAACTCTACCCGTATTATTAGAAAAAAATTCTTTCAGGAACAATGAGCTGCATCAGCAGTGGAAAGACTCTTAGCATTACCCACATAACCATCTGAATACCCTTGCCACCCTTTACTCAAGAATACTGTGCTAATGGAAAACTAGCAAGCGTATGATACCCAGTTGTTAGGGTCACTACTTAGAAAGCAGCAAGACTATTGTGCCCTACTGGTAGAGTCATTGGTTAGATGGGAGAAAGTGTATGGTCTATAGATGGCAGATTCTTTATTCAGATCAGACTTGAACTGAAATAAGTGCACATTGCACCATCTGCCTCTCTGTTGAATCAAGTATCAACAGAAGAATTCAGGGATCCACAGTCTCCACCATGTAGGAAGGCAAAGGATCAAGATCTGAGCTTTGACCAGTGGGGGACCTGGGGGTCTTAAGAAGTAAGAACAGAGGGATAGTATAAGATCCTATAGATTTGTTTAACTAAGATAGTGATACACCACTGACAGAGTGTCAGAATTAAACAGGAATTACGGGCAGAATATAAAGAAAACGACAAAATTGATAGATGATATGTGGATTACAGAACATTATAAGGATTTTCAAGGTTTCAAGAAGCTTGATCCTCTCCCAAATACACTGAAACTGGAACACTCGATAAATTTTTTATACTTTCTTCCTCTATTCTCCTATATACATAGACACACTGCTCTCTTCTATTTAATTCTCCCTACTTCGTCCTCTAGCTATTTCATAAGAGGAAAAAAAAAAATCATATTTTAATGTATCCCTCCCCTACAATCCATGCATGACATTGAGCAGGACAGAGATCATAGAGCATAGAAGGTGTTCAGAACTCATTCTTTAGCTTTGTATATAAGGTATTTGAAAATAGTAGTATAAATAATGTTTGAAATTATTAGTATAGATAATGTGCAGCAGAAGATTGTTAAAATTAAATTCTAACAAGGATCAATCTCACATCTTGTATTATTCAGAAATACTTCTTCAGATGATTAAACTTAAGGAAATCTTTAACACATTACTACCAATAAGATTCCAGTAACACCACTAATCTCAGCTATTAAACAATTTTAAAATACAGAAAATGTATAAGAAATTAATTAGTGAAAAAATACATGTAATTGATTGATACGAAGTATAGTTATCACAGAATCATATAGCTGGGATGGTATGCTTGTAACATTGTATTAAGATCCTAAATTCAAGATTGTTTACTCAAATAGAATAGGAAGATTCCATAAGATATGATTTCAATTCAGATGGGAATCAATCATTTCTTGGGTCATAATACTACATCAAAAAAATTGATAGAGATTTGAACGTTCACAGTTTTAGGGTTGATTCTATACTTCTATGTTTGGCTGGATGTAATCCAAGATCAGGAAAATTTGGTAGTTAAACAGGCTAACTTGAGTTCTCTACTTGGGTGGCATGAAGCAACAGTAAGCATGCTGTTTTCATGATGAAAGACCTTAATACTTAATAGAGGTGTACAGTGCAAGCTCAGCTGATTGTGGTGAGGTCACTTGTGCTCTCTTCTCTCTCAATATATAGTGGTTTAAAGAGATAATGGTTATGTAACTTATGTCAACCAATGTCCTTTAATACTAGCAGATGGATCCACTAAAAGGTTGACTCATCATATAGGCATCTGTAATGAGTCTTTTGTCATTCTCGCCAACTTCAGGCAGTTAACCATCAAGCAAAATGGAAGCAGCATCAAAAGCTGGTACAGGAAGTTACATAAACATCACAAAAGGATTTATCTGCCTTCTTCCAATCAGTTCTTCCCTATGCATTATGCTCAATTCTTCAATCTAATGGAGTCCCATGGAAAAAGAAACAGGAGAGCTTTAGATGCTCCTCATTTATCAGAAAATAGCAACGGAAACGAAGAAAGAGATGTAAAATTTGATGATGACGGTCCTTTTTATTAACTCGTTCAAAACTATCAGCAACAGTTCAATGATACTCCAACTTTTCCTCATCACAACCCATATCTAAACAATTTTCAACTGCTAATACAAACTTGAAAAGATGGAATTAACATATTAAGTATGTCAACAAAATATGCACCATGAGCAAAGGACTTATGCTTGTTTTCATGTGGGTCAGTGCATGATCAATGCTTACCTCACTAGACATGGTCACTGCTTCAAATTCAGGGTCAAGTAGGTATCTACCTACCAAAACTTTGATTAATCCACACACATGGCACCAGACTCCTGATGGACGAGATTCTTTCAAAAACATGCCAATCCTAGAATATTGCTTATCAGCATGAGCTTGTTAAAGCTCCAGCGGAGATGGATCAGTAGCCTCTGAGGGAAACTCGAGCCATTCATCTCCGAGTTCCAAAAGAATTTTACAAGAAGATGAGCTTTATCACCACGACAGTCATTTATCAATCTTCCACCGGCAGATCCAGAGAAAAAAAAAAAAAAAAAATCCTAGGTTCATTTTCAACACGGCTACACCAGCTTCTGAGGAATCACACTAATTATATATATGAACTTCTTCCTGTCATCAGGAGCACCTTAGGGCCCAAAGGAGAGCACAGGTGCCTCCTAAGTTTTAGGTTCCAACCAACTCCCAATTTTCCAAATTTATCCTATTGTTGCCCCTTCTACATTCTCCCTTCCAAGGAAGAGCACCATAAGGATATCTTAGTGCCCTCTGAAGGCCTCTCCCTTTTTTTCACATTTACTCAACACGCATTCCAATCCCTTCCAAGACCATTATCTGACCCTCTTCCCCTCTTTTTCTTCCTTTTATTCTAGGGTTTGAGGTGAGCGAAGTAGAGGTTAAGTTTGGAGAGAGTCCAGGTTTAATGATTTGATTGAAAAAGTTATATAAGATGACCAAATCAGCTTAAGCAAAAGAAGAGCAAGAAGTCGAAAAAAATGCAATCAATATAAATACAATGGATTAATCAGACATCATGATTAAAAATTGCACTAGAAATATATCATACACCATCACCACAAAGTGTGCATACAAAAAGTTGTAATACAAAAAGAAATATCTCTACCTATAAAGTCTCAACTAGAAGGCCAGTGCCAAAGTAGTTAAAACTCACTTAGTTACCAATGTCCGAAAAACTTAGTCATTGTCCTCTGCCCATCAATTCATCAGAATCTGAATCACTTGCGTTATAGCCTAAATAGACCGCAGACAGAAAATCAGAATAAGGAAAGGGAAAAATATAAGAATGATATAAGTGAGCAAGAACAAGAAAAGTCAGGTTTTTTTCAAGGGAGGGGATGAAGGAGGAGGTTACCAGGGTGCTTTTCGCCCACTCTCCAAACTGATGATCTTACCCTAGAAGCCTTTGACATCCATACTTTTGCCTGAAACCCATAAATAGTGAGACATGATCTCAAACAAATAAGCAACATCATGGCACAAACCAAAGCTATCAAGAAGCAACTTATAAAAAGCACACTGAGTACAATCTCACATCAATTCTAGCTGCTTCTACTAATTTCTTACTGACAAGAGAGCCTCAAACTGCTCGGATATGTATTCCTAGGAAGAAGAAAGGACTATGCACATAATAAAAAATAATAATCTTTACAACTTTAAAGCAAGCTATACAAATAACTACACCCCTAATATTTAGCCAAATCATTCGCCCACTTCATGTCGGAGCACACTCAAGTACCAGCTAGTGCTTCAACAAAGGAGCAAAAGAAGAACTAACATATTCTGATTCCAATTCAAATTAAGGATCCAACCAAACCCTAGTTTAAAGGAATCTAAATGTTTTTATTTTATTACTCAAGCACAACTAAAATCATAATACTACCCCATTAGAGAACAATCAACCCCCAAGCACAAGGATCCCATACAACTCAAAAAGCTGACACAAACCCAGAATTTATCCATTCAATTCAAAGAAAATGCAAAGTTGTGCAATCACAATAGTCAACAAACAAATCAATCAACTGACAAAAATCCACAGTCACATTAAATTCAGCCAATAAAAAATGATGGGCATCCATAAAAATCACCAAATAACACAAAATTTTTTAAATTGAACCAAAAAATTTCCCCAAAAAAATAAATTTAAAAATCAAACCTTTAGGGCATATTCAAATTCACTAACTAGCATCACTAATTCACGAAATTAACAAAACCCCACAATTAAACTCATAAAATTAACACAATCTAAAATGATGGGCATCCATAAAAATCTCAAAAAATGAAAAAAAAAGGAAGGACCTTTTGGACATCTCTGGGAGTACTTGCATATTAGTATCGCCGCCTTTAGCCTCCTTGAGAGTGTCTTGAAACCACCGCATCACACAGTCGGCCACCACCTCCGACAACGGCTGCCGCGCCTCTCTGCCGCCGTTGCTGCTACTGCCTCCGTTTTGCATGTCGTTTTACTGCTAATTCTCTGCGTTTTACTCAATTATTTTCTGATTTTTTTTTTCTTTTACAATAATAAAAGAGGAGAAAATCAAGGAGGAAGATATGAGAAATGGAAGCAATTGTAGCAAGAGAGATTCTCGGTGAGAAGGGTTTTTACAAATTTGAAGTCAATTATATAGAACGACGTCGTTTTGTATAGCAAAGCAGGGTCAGCAGATATCCAGTTGCCAATTGATAAAGTGACAACCTTTTGCGGTTTTACATCCAAGATCCAACTAGAATTTTTTCCTTCTGATTCGTTTGTTTTAAATATTTTTTTTTCTTTTAGAAAAAAATGAAGGACTATGCTGAATCGGCACTCCTCACAAGTTATGTCAGCGGTCAGCCCACCTTCGCAAGTCAACGCCTGAAAGTAGAGGAGTAGGTAAGGGAATTTCCCTATTCCCAAGCAAATGTAGTTGGTAGGGGGTTGAATTTTTGACCTCAAAGTAATAACGTGAGTTCCCATCAATTCCACTAAACTATGTGGTATAATTGTTCTCTCTAACTACCAATTTATTTTTTTTATTTTTATTTTATTTGTTTTCATATTATGTACAAATAACGGTATTTTAAGAATTACATGTAATAATAATGCTATCTTATCTTAAGGATTACATGTAGAATTACATGGGTTACTCAAGCATAAAAACCTCAAGTTATACATAGAATTATGGAGTACTTCGTAGGTTTGATAGGATAAATTTATACTATGTATTCTTGTATCTAAGATGTATGTAATTGTGTATATCAATGGTATACTTATAAATAGTTGCAAACTGCAAATTTTTAATGGAAAAATATAATCAGTTTTCATTTATTTGGGCTAATGCGCGGGTATTCCTCTTCTCTTTATCTTCTTTTCTCCTAAACCTCAAGATCAAATTGCTTAAAGAAGGAGTAAATTCAATTACCCATCTCGCACTTTATTGAATCTTAATCAAATGTTGAATTCGTCATACTAGTAGTTTTTATCGTGGAAGTATATGAATTGTCACGGTCGTTGCAATTATAATTTGTTAAATCACCATACATCCAAGTATCATTTATTTATGATTTTATTTACAATATTTAGATATGCTTAAATATTGAATATTTTGCCTCCTCAAATACTCTGACGCTCCTTTAGTATGTAATCTATGATATAACCAAATACCTCTAATATACATTTGCTTGTTCAGATCATCCCGTATAAACATATGTGTACTTGGACAACTACAACTTCACTTGATAATGTTAAACAAATGTAACAATATTAAACATTATCAAATAATGAAGTGCTAGCCTCTTTCTGTTGTATATACACAAAGCTTGTTACATTATATACATTATACACACGTTAAGTTCATAGTTCCTAGTAGAATCTATGCTCAACTATATTAATTAAGCACCAGTGGTCTAGTGGTAGAATAGACCCGGGTTCGATTTCCGGCTGGTGCAATAAAGCTATGAAGAAATTTGCGCCTAACGTGGCAGATTGGGTCCGCCACCATTTGTCTAACCTTCATCAGATTATGATTATGCTAGAGCGCATCTGAGCTTTGTTCTTTTTAGTCCATTTTTGTATAAAATAAACTATTATTGCAGGAAAGAAGTGATTGTTACTAATCAACTACTTATCATCCAAACTTATCGTTTCAAATTTTTTGAATTAATCTGAAGAGATCATCGCGGCATCAGTCTTTAAGATCAAAAAGTATCAAATTTTAAAATTTACTACAAAAGGTTCGTATCTCCAAATGGAGAGAAAATTTATGTACTCCATACTTTTATATCCTCAAAAAAATTTCTAATTCCTAGCTACTATGTTTTTTTTGACAAGATCCTAGCTACTATGTTGGTTGAAGTCTTTGAAATCATTGATTTGGTTTCTTTCTTTTTTTTTTTTTTTGGTGCAATTGGTTTCAAACACGGAAAAATTGGAAAAGAAAAATATTAAAAGATAAAAATGGAAATTTTCATGAGGTACCTTTTCGATCAGTTTACATGAATACAGGAATCTCATCAAAATTTCCTGCTATGTTTTAACAAAAATATATGAATAATAAGTATTCGAGTATATTTTTGTTTGTTTGCTTAAGTTAAAGTATATTTTTGTGGACAACTATCGAGGAAGACAAAGATTTAGTAAAACCATGTTGAAGTTCCTTCCATAAATTTCTATCCATGGACCTGATGAATTTAAGATGTTTTAGGAAAAATAGCTTTATTTATTAATTTAAATCTTGTGAAAGAAATAATCATACAAAAAAAAAAAAAGGAAAGAAAGAAAGCTTTCAGAAAATTCAAATGTAGTTACTCCGTACTTTTAAGTTTGAAGACATTTGATTATAACACGAAGTTGATTTATGTCATACAAAATACCAATACGCAATGTCAATTGAGATTAGTAGCAACATAGCGCGAAAGAGGAGGGGTGGATGAGATTCGAATCCGTGACCTTTGTGTCACACTAGCTTCAATACCATACTAGTGGACCAACTCAAGTTTATAGTTAAGGCCTAGGAATATGTTTCATACTCAATCATCGAAGGTCCGAAGTTAACCTCTTACTTTCACTATATGGTCTCATTCTACCATCTCATTTGTTCAAGATTTGTGACAATCTATTGATTAAAATGGAGCAAGTAATATGAGACAAATAGAATATAACTTAAAATGATCAAATACATTAAATCAGATTAACATGTTATATAAATTAATATATACTGTAGTATTGATTATTTAGCATTAAAAAAATTTAAACGGTAGTTTTTTCCTCCAAAGCTACTTTTACAATTATGGAAGGAAATCGTGTACACATCTATGTACACCAATGGTTTGCATATCAACATGATACATATTACCTTAAAAGTACAAATAATAATCAAAGAAAATAATCAATGTGATAGTATCTGTAAAAGTATTATTGTACAATTGTTGTATTATTATTAATTATCTGGCCTCACTCTAACCGTCCGAGGATAACAATTTAATAACCCTTGGATCTCCACCCTTATCCAAGTGTTCTAAAAAAACAAATTAATATTTTCTTGCATTTATAAAAATAATTCACATAATTTGATAAAGTGAATGAACCTAGCAAATTCATTTTAAGGTAAAAAATCATACCAAAAATGCTATAAAAATGTCAACATTTAGACCCTTGAAGTACTATACTATTACTGTCACAAATAATTGTTTTGCTAGCGAGAGCATCTCTCTCTAATAACCCTGTTGGATATCGATGGATAAGGGCAAAGGAAAAGAAATCGTTTCTTCCTACGACTTTGAAATCCTGGCTTCGCCCCAATCGAAGGGAGAGAGAAGCCGTCCACCCAGCCGAATCAACGCCCGATACCCACCACCACGACTACCAACACCAGCGACGCAAACTTTTTCTTGCGTCCAGTGCAATGCTAGGTTTGCTTCTCAATATGACTTGCGTGGTCATATGACGTACATCCATACTAAGCCACTACCCAGTGTCTCTTCCCAGGAGGCGTGGCAGGCGGTCAACCTACGAGCCCACGATGGTAATCCACCACCCCAACTCGTTGAATTGTTCCATATCCAATTAAAGCGTGAGCGTGAAATTGAGGCCGCCAACTTGGTCCAATTGCTACTATCACCACCAACACTAGCTCCACCGGCACCCTCAGTAGGACTCACCCTCGGCGCCTTGCCTACTATCGAGGAGCATCCTCGTAGGGTGGTTGACTTGAACAAGGAGGCATCCGATGAGGATGATGAGGAGTATAATTAGATCGTTGATCGGAGGCCTTTAATTTGCATGGATTGAGAATGTTACTTTGCATGGGAAATCAAAGCATTTTTAAAAGTTTATGTTTTGTCATAATTAAATTTAGTGGTGTTTAAGTTATGTTATTATGTTTTATTTTTCTTTAATCTTCCCTACCCATATTATTAATCAGTTTATGATGTGGTTAAGTTGTTGTATAATAATTGTCTGAAAAAACAAGAGTTAATTTGAGTAATTTGATTATCCAATGTGCAACTATACACTTTATACACATATTATACAAGTATATTATTTGTATAAGAATTTGCAAATTAAAAAGCTTCAAATTGTATTCATCCTTTAATTTGGTGCAAGGAGACCAAAAGACATATAAGACACTTTCTTTATGCACACATACATACAAGATATATGAAATAAAGCATAAGTCTTATCGATTTAATTTTAATGGGTAAGCTTACGATTTCAGATCATTATTCATACAAAATAAATAAAAAGTTAAAATTTTCAAGATATATGATTGTATATGTATGATTGAAATCCGATCTAGTCTGTATCCAGATATAAAATCTTATGATACGATCATAAACCTAACAAATGTGGCTAGTCCTCATTCAAAGTATGTTGCGTCGCTTGGTACTTAAGATTTTATGTAGTAACCAATACAGATTATTATAATTTTATTTTATGATTTTGCTATCATTAAGCACAACAATGATGGTGTGCTGCACGTAAATAACACTCCCAACACCGTGTTCATTGATAGCATAATATCCAATTAGGGAAGATTAATTCATTGTATGGTGTCGATCGATCCTTTGTACTCATGATTGTGTTGAAGTACACAATTAATGACGTGCATGTTGCGCACTTTATTGCACCTATTAAGTTCAAACCTTTGTATATATGTTGACCGTTTGAGATTATAAATCGATTTCGATCATGTTACAGGATTTACATTGCACCTGTTAATAAGTTCAACCTTTGTATATATGTTGACCCTTTGTGATTATACTCGATGTAGATCATGTCACAGGATTTACATTGCACCTGTTAATAAGTTCAAACCTTATAGGCTCACAACATTGGGTGATGCTCTGATACCAATGACATGGCCTTTGTGTAAAACTAAAGTTACTTAATCAGTATTATGTATGTTCAAGAAATGCGCCGTGTAAGACTTCATTTGTGGCATACATCTCCCTTATTTAAGCTCTAAAATAGTTCCACTTGAGTTTTTATATCATATGCTAGGTTGCAAAAGAACGGGCAGTGGACATTGATACGAATAAGGATACGAATGCGGATACAGAAAAACGTCAATCTCAAAATAGAACACGACACGAGTACAACATGATAAAATTCATACAATAAGTTTAGTAAAAAAAGAATGTGACAACCTTTTTTTTTAAATGGAAAAAAGAATTTGACAATTTATTCAGTATTATCGTAAAAATATTATATTATTTCAATAAGCGGAAAAAAATGATAAAATGACCTTAAAATTATAAATCCAAATATTATTGAGTACATTAAGTATGTCTTACGTCGCGTATCGAAAGAGTATCGGTGTCCGACATGAACACGACAAGACAACTGAATGAAGTGTCCACGTATCCTAGGTCATATTTACTTCAGTAGACAGTTTACAATGGCGTTAATCCATATTTATTGGTATACTAATTTTGTATCCAGGTGATGCCCAAATGATTGATAAAAATTTAGGATAAACTTTTTGGATTGAATGCAGGATATTTAGACATATTGAATTGAAATATATTTTATTGAACTGAAATTATTTTTACTGAACTAAAAGAATTTTTATCAAAACAAAAGTTATTTTTCAAGATTTAAACTTATTTTCACTAATTCTCTATTATTTTTGTAAGAAAATTAAATATATTATAAATGAATCTTTATTAAAAGAACTTTTAAAACGAATTTTAGGATGAAAAAGTACCAAATTATAAGATATGTATTACAAAGTAAAAGTTAAGATTAATTTTGTATATGTAAAATATTTGAAGTATATTGATAATAAAACATTTTTATCTTTAAAAACTTATCCAAACTTCACAGTAATACATATTTGTAATCCGTGGTTTATACACACGGGTGTACAATGCTCATCATACACCCGGATAAATAAAAAAAAAGGCGGAAAGAACATCTTGTGTTTCATAAAGAACATACTTGTATTTGACAAAGAACATGTTTGTATTTGACAAAAACATGCATTACCGAAGAACATAAAGATATAATAAAAAGAACGAGATAAAAACTTAATAAAATTTTCTGAAAAATTACACATTATTAACGGAAAAAATTTAGAGGTGATAAAAAATCGAGTAGAGCCGGGCCATGTCATAATTTCTCGTGCCCAAACCCGTAGAAAAGTAGCGGGTTTTGGGCTTTTTTCGAACCCGGTTCGAGTTTTAACTAAAAATGCATTTTTAGGTTTGTCTAAACCCACCCTATTTCGGGCCGGATCGGGTCGGGAAGCGAGTCATGCCAATGTTGATCAACTCTTAAAAAATCCTTACCAAAAATATTATTTCCCCAAAAAATAGTTTTCTATCTCTCCAAAAAAAATTCAACTTCCCATAATAATTTAGTTTTTTTTACTCTAATATTATTTTCAATTAAAAATAATTTAAGATTTCAATATCAAATTTCAAAATAACATATGTTAAAAGAACATAATTTATATTGTAAAGTACATATAGTTAATACCTAAATAACACGCTAATCAAACTCAAAGAATATATGATAATAAAAGTAATTTAAATATGACATATGATAATAAAAATAGAATTTGGACGTCATTACGACCTTAAAGAACATACACGTCAAATTCAAAGAACATACTTTGTATTGTTAAACCCAAAAAAAAAAATATGTTTATCAACATATGTTAAATAACATAAGTTATAATGTAAAGAACATATAATTTTACTCAAAGAACACACTGATCACACTCAAAGAACATATTAAAGGTATGTTCCTTGTCAAACATTATATGTTCTTTATCAAACATTATATGTTCTTTCCGCCTTTTTTGTTTACCCGGGTGCACCATGAACATGGTGCACCCGGGTGTATTATCTAATTTTCACATATTTGTCGCCTACGTGGCATAACACTTGACGAACAACATAAATGCCAAGTGTCGTTGTCCCGTAATCAAGCTGCGAGACCCGCGCTTTATTTATTAGTGATATGATTTACCAAGTGGGCATTGGTAGATTAATGGCATTAATCTAAAACAATACAGATGTCGCATTGCATTACTGTTGCCCTAGTCTGACTGCAAAATTCACAATCGACTACAAGAAATACAGGCTAGTAGGTGTAATGAAAAGTTGCTTCATGCGATTATATCTAACCAGCAAGGCAGCAAAACAGAACTTAACAAACTTACAAGCCATGAACAAAAATCAACGAACAGAAGCAATTTACCCAATATTTTCAAAAACTTTGGTCTAAAAATAAAAACACAATCCTTAAAGAAGGTACTAGGAGAGCAGAGCGTGATTCTATATCAAATAGATTCATTGATGCACAACACCATCTTAAAAAGGACCAGACTGAACCCCTAGTTTTAAATACTAGATGTATGACAATAGTAACATATAATAAAATGAACATTAAGCTACAACCAAAAAGTCTGGTATAGATCAATCATATAGGAAGGCAAATATCTAAGCTTGAAGTTTCTCTTGTGCAATAGCAGTAGCACTTGTTAGAAAAGCCTGTCCAGCATGGCGGTTTGATAGAGGTCCATGGCAACCAAGAAGCTGCAAGGCACAAAATACATCAGAGAGCCCCGTAAGTCACTATTAATTATTAATAATAAGTAAGCTACAGAAATAACGAAGGCAGGAGGAAAAACTCTACATAGACAAGAATTGACAAAGCTATCAATTCGCTAAAGAAAGGTTTGTTCAAGGCATTGGGCAACTCCGAATGTATTAACATAGGCAAACGAAGTAGAAAATTCTAGAAAATATGCCCTCATAGGCAAACAACATAGAAAGGTATATTCCAGAAGTTAAGAGCACTGACTGGTATTAAGTACTAAGCAAAGTTTTCCAATAAGCATGCTCAATCACAATAATACAGAGAAGCCTTCACAATTCGCCAGCATACTCAAAAACCACAAATATGAATAGACCAACAGTTATGAAGCACAACAATCTGAGCACGTTGATAATTTAGTGACTGTTAATCTAAACTAACAGTGTAATCAAATAATATACTAGTATAAGGGATCTAACTATTAGTTCCATGCAAAAAACGAGATCAATGATAATGTCATCAGGTTAACAGAGAACAAAATCCGAAATCCAATCATCATACAAAATTAGAAGTGAAAAAATCAACAAACCTTGGCATTGACACCATCTGGCACAATCCTGTTCTCAGATTTGTACTTCAAATAATCAGCACGGTTGTACTTGGTAAAGCCCCTGATCAATAGAGTTACAGAAATCAGTACTGGGAAACATGATACTCATAATTCAGAGTTCAGACTAGCATCAACCACTACTCTCAAGATTCAAAGACTACCAGCTAAATTAACCACCAGTATTGTACAAAAAACTGATCAAATAGTGTATAACTAATATGTTAAAAATATTTGAGCTTTCTACGATCATTTTATAACATTTGTTACCAAAAATTAGCATTGTTGAACCAAACAAAAGAAGTCCCAAGTAAAATGCAGGTACTCTAGTTCTAAGCATATAAATGTTTAATAACCCAGATACTACACATCCCAATTTTCATATAGATAAGTGTTGAAACTTAAGAAAAAAAAGCAGAGAGTAAACATACCACTTCCTGCTGATAATGATCTTTTGACGACCAGGAAACTTGAACTTAGCACGACGAAGAGCCTCCTGAGCATGGTGGCTGTTACTGTCCTTGCAACGAACGGAAAGGAGAACCTGACCAATTGCAACACGAGCACAAACACCCTGAGGCTTGCCAAAAGCACCCCTCATACCTGTTTGGAGCCTATCAGCCCCAGCACACGAAAGCATCTTGTTGATACGAAGCACATGGAACGGGTGAACCCTAACCCTTAGATGGAAAGCATCCTTTCCAGCAAACTTAGTCATGTACTTGTTGCAAGCAATACGGGCAGCTTCCAAAGCCTCACTTGACACATTTTCCTTCTCCCAACTGACAAGGTGCACACAGAAGGGGAATTCATCGACACCTTTCTTCTTCATACCGACGTCATAAATCCTGATTTTAGGATCAGGGACACCACGGCAAAACCGAGATTTAGGGTATGGCTTGTTCTTAATCTGACGGTAACATCTTGCCGGTCCTAAATTGAATCCATTTAAAACAATCACATTTCAATTTCTTTAGCACAAAAAAAATTCATTTATCACATCAGATTTCATTTTATAAATCCCTCATTTGAGCAAAGCACATTACTATCGAATTAACAAGTAACTCCATGATATGAAAAATAAAAAGGAAATTAAGTTAACGCAACACATCTCAAACAATCAAAAAATTGGATCAACCTTATTGTCATTTGTTCATTACTAATCAAATATACATAAGCACATATTCATACAAAAATACCACAAATTATCAGTATTTAAAAAAAAAAATTGATCGAATCAAAACAAAAGTATGAAAATTGTGAAATAAAGTATGAAAAGTTACAGACTAGATAAGCAAAAAAATCACTCAAAATGCTCATATGAAAACTAAAAATCAAGCAAAAACTAGCAGATAAAAACAGCGGAATTCGATTTATAATCCTGAATTTGTCGAAGAAACTCAATTCACAAAATCGATTGAACATACAAAAACAGAATTGACAATTGATACTACAATCGAAACACTAATCCAGAAAAAATAAAGCATAGATGAAGATCTTACTTCTTCCCATGGCGGCGTAACTTGAAGAAATTCTGAGCTCCGAAAATCGAAAAACCCTAAGTCGGGGGACAAGAAGAAATAAAGTGGGCTTATAAATAAAAAGAGAGAGAAAAAACGGGTAGATCGACGGGTTGCCCTGTTTGTTGGGCCGGTCAGGGGTATTACGATTTATGACGTTTGTGCTGGCGTGTTTTAAGTGTTAGATAATTAGATTGCCCATTTACGGCATCTTTTTTCAACAGTTTGGTCCAGTCTATGATCTACGGCCCAATTAATAATTATAATCAATGTCTAATGCAGTAATGCTAGTATGCTATGTTCTGTTCACATGATATTTATCAATAAATTAAATTATTTCTTATAAAATTAAATTACTTTTGTTGAATTTATATCTTTTAATAATTGATTGCAATATGATAAACTAGTTTTGTGCCCCGGGCGATGCCCAGGTTGTTTACTAATAAGATAAACATTTTATCTATATGTTAATTTTTTGAACATATCATTGATACAAATAGTGTAATGTAAGAGGAGTACATCCCTTTTAATTTAGGATATTTTAACGTCGGATACCATTGATTTTTGTAAAAGCACCGTATATATTATAGATTTATAAACTATATATGAGAAAAATATTTATGTTATTCGAATTTGCTACTTGATAATTATATTAAAAATTTACAATCTAAATAACTTTTTTTGAAAGTTACAATCTATTTTATTCGTATGGAAAATTAGAAGTCCTATCAGAAATAAAATTCTAAATTTTTTTTATCTAAAAATCTATCTTAAATATAACTTTCTTATTCTATAAAATCTATCTTAAATTCGCTTATCTAGCGTCAGAGTAGTCGTATTAAATCTTATATGTCGCCTACGTGGCGCGACACTTGGCAAAAAGTTGAAACGCCAAGTGTCGCTGTCTTGTAGCCTGACTAATAGTTTAGCTTCATATATATTAGTTACTAGTTTTGTGCCCGGGCGATGCCCGAATTATTGATAAAATTTTAAGATAAATTTTTTGGCTCGAATGTTAAATAAGGTCATATAATTCTTTATGATGATGCAGAATATTTAGACATATGATATCATATCTCTTATTTATATAGTAGTGTATTTTTTGTAATTTGTTTGTAAATAGATATCTAAGTTATTATTAACTTGAAATTTATTTATTGAACTTAAATTATTTTTACTGAACTGAAAGTATTTTTTTACCAAACTAAAATTATTTTTTCTGATAATTAATCTATTATTTTTTTTGAATATATTAAATATATTATAAATGGATCTTATTTTAAGAAACTTTTTAAAACAAATTTTATGATGCAAATAAAACCGAGTTATAGGATATTTATTAAAAGTTATAATTAATTTTGTATGTATGAAATATTAAAAGTATATCGATAATAAAACTCTATATAACATCTTTATCTTGAAAAATTCTATCCAAAATTCGCTTACTTGACATCATATGTGTCACAATAATATATATTTGTCGCCTACGTGGCTCGACACTTGGCAAAAAACTGGAATGCCAAGTGTCACTATCTCGTGGCCTGACTGCGAGATCGGCATTATATATTAGTGATATGATATGATATGACATTGTAAATTTTGAAAAGTGAGTGTAATAGGGCCTAACTGCCTAAGGAACTAATGATATCGTTGACATGTTATAGGTTCAAATCTCACTTATTTTTATTACTCCCTCTGTTTTTTTTAATAAGCTAGAGTTGAATTTGCACATTTGTCGAGACACAACTTTGACCATTGTGAGGAGAGTAGCCTATCGTTGGGGATCCCGTTTCCTCTATGCCCTTGGCCCTTCAGAAGCCTAGGATTTTACACTTTTTAGGGTGTGTTAGGATTTTACTTCCTAACTGTTTGGGAGACCTTGAATTAGAATTGAGTCCGTCATTACTTTTTTTGTTTATAATTAACCAATAAAGAGTCACCAATGAGTTTTAGGATAACTCATAAACCTTGTTCATACCTTTCTCCCAAGTAGTGTTCAAGGGATAATTAGCATGAATCATAAGTTTACCCATGCCCAAATTGGTCTACTAAACCAGAAATGAGTTCAGGAGCGAGGGTACTAGAAAAATGTTCTCTTTGAGAATCGCAATCCTAGCCCTAGTGCGGCCTTTACTAGCTCTTCCTTTTTCACAATTTCATTACCAAATAATATATGCAACGCAATTCCTAAAAACTAAGTTAGTCGATTTTATTTACAAACATTAATCACAAAAAGTCTACATTGCAACGAATGTCGTTATTCTTTTTTAATTCAAATTCGTGAAAGGAACAAGAAATAAACAATATTCGCCGTGACTTAGGTGATAAAATAACAATTTAATTATTAAATTATAGTCTTTAATTAACGCAAGATATATGCTATGTGAAATTAATTAATTGGAGTTTGTTTAAAGTGATCAAACAACACTAATTAATTGATTAAAGTTATTTAAACAAGAAAGGAAAAGTGATTTAACTAAGTGCTTAGGAAACTAACTATTCTCCTTTTTTGCTAGATCTCCGTTCTGGGCGGTTGTGGACTTCCCTCCTTCTTCGTACCTCCAAGGACTTCAATGGAATGGATTAGGGTTGAAGAGTATTTAGGAAGAGAGGGGAAAAGTAGTATGATAGTAACAGAGAACTTGAGAAATTAGGGTTTCTAGAACTCTAGGGTTTTTATTCTGATTTTTTTGTTGTCTTTAGGGCTAACGAAGACCCCTATTTATAGGCGTAGGAATCTAGGTTTAGGGTTTCAGAGTCATGGTGTCAAGGGGCGTGAACAACTCACAAAGTCGCGCTGGAGTGGCGAGCGCAACTCTGGGACTTGCACGCGGCTGACACGCACAACTGTGAAAGTTGCGCGCGGTGCGGTTTGCCTTATACAAAAACGCGTTTTTAAAACTTTTATAACTTTTGATTATGAAATCGGATTAAGGCAAATAAGATATCATTGGAAAGTTCTGAATGTCTACTTTCCAATGCCGTTAGAGTTAGGTTAAAATCTGTTATGGATCAAAAGATATGGCCGTTTGAGTGCAAGGGTGTCGGTTTTAGGGCCCGGTTTAGTATTTTAATGATAACTTCTTCGTTTTAACTCGGAATTGGGCTTATAATGTACAGTTGGACAGCTCTTTGAAAGAACTATCCATTTGTATAGGTCATGAACAAATATTAAGTCTTTAATTGTTCTGATTGGCTCGGTTTTCAACAATGTAAGATCCATTTGATCCAATCACTGCATTTGACCATTTAGGTCCGTTATTAATCAAGATTAAACATGTATGAACAAGTTTTAAGCCTAATAATTTGGTCTCAAATACGGGTTCTAACTTACTTCATTATGCATTTCGGAGTTCATAAACACTTTAACTTTGATCTAGCATGAAGAACGAGTTTTTGTAACATCATCGCACTTCCCGTCAGGACAAGAAGCAAAAAGTAGGTGTCTACAACCATCAATATATTTAATTAAAGGTTAGTAAAAATTGTGAAAAAATTAATTAAAGTAGACATTATGACAAATCCAACAACATATTATATGATCATATTTATATATTATATATTGGTAAAAAAATTAAGTCAATGATGACATATGAATGGTGCAAAATCCAAATTCTAACTTATAAAAAAAAATGGATGGAGTATTTGAATTTGAATTTGGAATTAATTTGTTGCTCTTCAAAAAAATATTTAAGAATATATTCACTTTGCCTTTTTTTTTTTTTTTTTTTTTTTTGACAGCCTTTCTTTCACTACGAAAATTCCTTGAGGGAATTTGATTATCTCAAACTCTCTGCAGGCCAGTTTTATGTTGATCATCGCACAAGACAAGAACAGAAATGGAAATTTATCCTCATTTTTACAAAAATAAATGATACAAAAACAGATTAAACAGAATTGGAATGGTAGCCTTTTCCAACAAAAGGAAAAGCGAAGATGGGGTGGGGTAGTGTGCAGAGGACCATCCTTTATAGTTGATACACGAACACAAAATGATTGGACAAAAATCAACGCAAATATACATCAATCTGATTGCAGACTCCTATAGCCAAAATTGGAAACATTGATACAAATTAATATGAACATTGAATGGTGCTGCAGGGCAGGCTGGAGATGCGCTTGCACGCAGAACCCCAGGCTGCTCGTGTATGTATATGTTAATGTTTCTATAAGATGGGAGGGGAGAACAAAAGAAAAAATCACTATACATATATCTATGTAGGGTAAGGGACGAACTACAACCACCCTTGAATCTATATACTTCATACTAAAGGTTGATACAGTCTCATCTAGCATATTGACAATGGCACGTGGGATGTGGTTGTATCAACTATCACTCCAACTATCTGCATCATCGTCTTCATCGCTTCCAGCCATTGCCTGTTTCAAAATTTGTCAGTTTATCAGTGGAAGAAGAACTATGAAATATAGATGGGCCTGACTGCAAATCAATGATTCTACAAACAGTTTTTGAGCATGGACAAACCTGACGGATAGTGCTTGCTTTTTCCAAAATGGCAGCAACCTTCAAATTTGTTCTTGGACCTTGAATATTGGGTCTAGCTGCAACTGCTGGTTTCAGATTGAACGACTGAAAGGAAAAAATAAAAATTCAGCTGCAAGTTTTGGAGTATTTAGACAATGTTCAGGATGAGTAACACCCATGAACATTAGGAAAGACAATGTTTAGGATAAGTAACACCATGAACATTAAGAAATGCGATCTGAGGGCAAACCTTATTTCTTATTTGTTCAAATAATGAGTCTCTCTCTTCTGCTTTTGGTTCAGCTGGAGGATGTGACCTTTCAGTTACCTTCCTCAGCAGCATTCGTGGGGATTCTGTTTCTTCAGTTTTCAGTTCAAGCTCTTCTCTAACCCTTTCCCGGACCTTCCTCAACTGCGCCATTGGTGAATTAATTTCTTCAACTTTAGGCTCAACCTCTTGTTGAGACTTTACCCCTACCTTTCTTAGCTGCAACTGTTCCAATAGAAATTCTCTCTCTTCAGACTTAGGATCAACTAGTGATTTAACCCTGTCTCCAACTTTTCTTAACTGCAACTGTTCTGGTAAAAACTCCTCTTCAGCTTTTGTGTCAACTGGAGGTTTTACCCTTTCTCCCACCTTTCTC